CCCCCTGCAGAGCCCCCCCGGGGGCCCGGCGCGGCCCGGCCATGCTCGGCCTGGACGTGTGCGAGGCGGGCGGGCAGCTGCTGGAGCTGCTGTGGCTGACGCTGTGCTACCGAGGTGAGCGGGCGGGGGACAGCGCTGGGTGCTCGGGAGGGTGGGGGGGGCTACAGCGCGGGCCGAGCATCGCCCCCCGCAGCCGACGACAACAGGTGGGGCAGAGCCCGGGGAGCCCCGCGGCGCCCATCCCGGTCGGCCCCCGGCGCTGCATCCCGGTGCGGTGTCGCGAGGTGCGGGGCCGCTGCCTTTTCCCGGGGCTTGGAGACGAGCCCGGGACTGAGCGCGGGGCCCTGCGGACTCCTAGAGTCGGGCGCGATGCGGTGGATGGGCCCTCGTCCCCCCCGCCCCACATGCGCCCACCGTCGGCCCCGGCCCCGTGGGTTTGTGGCTGTGCCTGCAGCCGGCGGGGCTGTGGGGCATGCAGAGCCCGGCGGGCTGCATGGCGGTGGGGATACCAACCTCGTGCACGGAAGGGCGCCGCGGGCTGCAAACGCACCCCGAGCCGCACACACGCAGCACCGCGGCTCATCTCGCTGCACGGCTGTGCGGAAACGCAGCCGGCGGCACCGCCTCTGGGCTCTGCTGTGCCACCGGGCCCTGGGGACACGCAGCCCTGGGGACACGCAGCCTGGTGGCATCATCGTGGCCCCGAGCAGGGGGATGGCACGGCTGCCGCATGGCAGCTTGGGGGCCATCAACCGCATCCATCTGAGCTCATCTCCCCCAGCCTGGCAGTGCCGGTGTGCCCTGGGGCATGGGGGTACCCAGGGTGTCCTCAGATTGCCACTGCCTGTGCCCTGCAGACATCATGGCTGACAAGGAGGGGGTGATGCTGTCGCTGGAGGAGGAGGAGGAGGATGCCGACGTGGCCCTGGCGTATAAGACGCCGGAGAGGAAGAGCCTGCGGGAGATCCAGGAGCTGGACCCGGGGGATGAGAGCCTGCGGAAGTACAAGCAGGCACTGCTGGGCAACATCCCTGTGGCTGTGGGTAAGGCTGGGGCTGGGAACCCCATCACCCCAACGCCCCGAGCATCCCATCACCCCGACACGTCACACCGGGTGATGCAGCCTCAGCGGGTGCAGGGAGCTGCGGCGCCCCCATCTCTGGAGGCATCCCCATAGGGAGGGCACGTCCCAAACGCGTCACCCGCGGGCGCTGCCTGTGCCCACCCCGCTGCAGGGAGACCCCGGCATCCCCTGCTGTGGGTAACGCTGCCCGGGGACCCCGGTTGCCTTGGTTACAGGATCACCGCTGCAGTTGCCATAGGAACGGTTACGAGGGACCGGGGAATTCATCGGGATGGCGGAGATGGAGCGAGCGGCCGCGGGGGGGCTGTCAGCCAGGGGCTGCCCTTGTGCCTACGTGGGCTGGGCTGTGCCACGGGGCTTTTAACATGGGCTCATCCACAAAGGGTTTGGGCTGAGGTGCCCTGCTGCCTGCAGCCCATTGTCCTCTGGCTGCTGCACACAGCCCCTTGGGGCACATGGGCATCCTCCCCAGGAGTCCCCAGCCCTCCTGCTCTGCGGCCCGAGGTGCCAACTCCATGGGTAGGGGCCACACTGCGTCACTTGTTCCCAGATGCCAGCGTGCCCAACGTGCAGGTGACGAAGCTGACCCTGATGTGTGAGCAGGCGCCGGGGCCCATCACCATGGACCTGACGGGTGAGTGCTGCCGGTCCTCCATGGCAGAAGGGAGGAGGAGGAGGAGGACGGGTGCCATGCTGACGGACCGTCTGCCCCCCACAGGAGACCTGGAAGTGCTGCAGAGCCGTCCCTTCGTGCTGAAGGAGGGGGTGGACTACAGGGTGAAGGTGTCCTTCAAGGTAAGGTTCCGTGGGCACCTGACATCACCTGTGGGCTCTGTGCCTCTTTGGGGGTCACTGCCCACCCTGGGGACCCACACTGCCCCCAGCATCACTCAGTGCCCATCCCAAGGAGCCGCATCGCAGGGCGGTGTTGGTGGCTGTAGGGTGGGTGCCCCTCCGAGCCCAGCACATGGAGCCTCTCACTGCCCCTTTGTGCCCGCAGGTGAACAGGGAGATCGTCTGTGGGCTGAAGTGCCTGCACCTGACGTACCGCCGCGGCCGGCCGGGTGAGTGGGGTCAGGGATGGGATGGGGCAGCACTGCCCGGCCCTGCTCACCCAAACCCCTCTCGCCCTCTCGCCCAGTGGACCGCGACGTCTTCATGGTGGGCAGCTACGCACCGCGGGCCGAGGAGTACGAGGTGGTGACGCCGGCCGAGGAGGTGCCGCGGGGCCGGCTGGTGCGTGGCTCCTACCGCGTCCGCTCGCTGGTCACCGATGATGACAAGACGGAGCACCTCGCCTGGGAGTGGGGCCTGTGCATAAGGAAGGGCTGGGAGGACTGAGACCCCCCCCCGGTCCCACCGTTGCGGGGATCCCCCCGCCGCCCGGGGACCCCCTGCCGCCCGCGCCGCCCCACCGACGGGAAGGTGGAGGGGTCCCTTAGCAAAGCGGGCGCCCGCGGTCGTGGTCTTGGCAACCAAAGTTATTTTTAATCGCTGTTTTTTTTTGATACCGACGCCCGACTCGTCCTCGCGGCACCTCCATCGCCGTGCACTGCTGTGCGCTGAGCTGCGCCCGGCCGCAGGCTGTGCTCCTCCATCGCCATTAAACCCTACAGACGTGTCTCTTACTGCCGTGTCCGTGTTCCCGGGCCTGCCGTAGGGACGCGTGCCTGGAAATCCAGCACCTGCTCGCTGCCTTATCTCCGTGCTGGCAGCCAGTAGCGGAGGGCCACGAGCTCCCACGGCCCAGCACCTCCCGCCCCGCCGCCCTTATCTGCCCCTCTCCCCGTGTGAAGGCTTTGGCAGTGGGACGGCGCCATGCGGGGCGGCGCGGTGCTGTGTGTGCTGCTGCTATCGCTGGCCTGGCTGAGCCCGGCATGGGGGGCTGAGGGTGGGGAGGAGGATGGGGAAGTGGTGGGGGGGGAGGAGGAGGAGGAGGATGAAGAGGATGAGGTGCTCTCGGATGAGCTGGAGGAGGAGGACGGCGTCCTGGTGCTCCATGAGCACAACTTTGCTCGTGCCCTGCGTGAGCACCGGCTGCTGCTGGTGGAGTTCTGTGAGTGCCTGCAGGGCAGGGGGGGAGGAGGCAGGGCTGCGGGGTGTGAGATGTGAGGGCCTGAAGGATAGGGGTTGGCAGAGGGGCACTGGGCATGAGAGGTGGAGCGGGGACAGAGGGCAGGGTCATGGGGTGGGGGGGACAGCAGAGGCATGGACCTTGTGGCAGAGGACACGAGGTGGGAATACGAGACATGGGCACGGCGGCTCACATGCGCCATTAGGTGCCCTCAGCCTCACCCCTGGGTTGGGGACACCGCTGGGTTGGGGACACCTCCTGCGGGCTGTGCTGCGGTGACACCGGGCCCTGCGCAGACGCTCCGTGGTGCGGGCACTGCCGCCGTTTGGCCCCTGAGTTCGCCCGTGCGGCCGCATTGCTGAGGAACGGATCGGAGGCGGGACGGCTGGGCAAGGTGGATGCCGTGGCACAGACAGCCCTGAGCGCCGAGTTCCACATCGATGCCTTCCCCACGCTCAAACTCTTCCGCGATGGCAATCGCACCCACCCCGTGGCATACAGCGGTAGGGCTGTGCGGGGCGCTGTGAGGGCGGGGGGCGGGTGGGGAGGTGATGGTGAAGGGGTGACGGCATCCCGACAGACGGTGAGGTGGTGGCGCAGTGAGTGTGGTGGCTGTGATGGCCGGTGCAGCCCTGCTCCGTGTTCAGGCCGCATGGATGCTGAAGGCATGGTGCTCTGGATGCAGCGCCGGGCCGGGCCCAGCGCCACGCTGCTGCACGACGCCGCCACCGCAGCCGCCTTCATCAGCGCGCAGGACGTCGCCGTGGTGGGCTTCTTCAAGGTGGGCAGGGGCCGGGGCGGGCAGGGCTGGGCTGCGGGCACGGCGGCGCTGATGGTGGAGACGTGCAGGACCTGCATGGCGAGGCAGCGCGGGCGTTCCACGAGGTGGCCGCAGAGATGGAGGATCTGGTGTTCGGTGTGACCAAGGAGGATGAGCTGTTCGAGGTGTACGGGCTGTCAGCAGACACCGTCTGCCTCTTCAAGAAGGTGAGTGGGCTGGGGGCAGTGGGGCTGCTTTGGGGTCCGGTGCTCACTGTCCCATGCCTGCAGTTTGATGAGGGGCGGACAGATTTCCCCGTGGATCCGGAGCAGGGCCTGGACGTGGCCAAGCTGAAGCGGCAGCTCGTTGTGCACAGCCTGAAGTTGGTGATGGACTTCTCCAATGAGGTATGGCTGCTGCCCACCCCAGCCCCGGCGTGGCTGCAAGGTGCCTGGCCTCACCCTCCTTCTGCCCCACAGACTTCCAGCCAGATCTTTGGGGCCAAGATCCCCCACCACATGCTGCTCTTCCTCAACACCTCTGTAGAAGAGCAGCAGGCGCTGCGGGATGAGTTCCGTGTGGCCGCCAGCACCTTCCGGGGAGAGGTGAGGTGAATCCCGTGGCAAGAAAGGATAGGACCTGGGGGACCACAGCCTCAGTGCTGCCCGTCCCCCGCTCCAGGTGCTCTTCGTGGTGGTGGATGTGAATGGGTACGGTGCCACCGTTCTGTCCTTCTTCGGCCTGACGCCCAGCGATGCGCCCACACTGCGCTGCATCAAGATGGAGAACAACCGCAAGTACCGCATGGAGGTGGACGCCTTCTCAGCCACGGCCGTGCGTGACTTTGTGCAGGAGGTGCTGGATGGCAAGGTGAAGGTGAGGAGATGGGTGCCTGGATCTGAACCTGGCCACGTGTCCCACCACTGCTCAGTGTGGGCTCCATCAGCAGAAGGGTGGGCAGCAGGGACAGGGAGGTGACCGTCCCTCTCTGCTCTGCTCTTGTGAGGCCCCATCTGCAGCACTGCATCCAGGGCTGGAGCCCCCAGGACAAGAAAGACAGGGAGCTGTTGGAGAGGGTGCAGGGGAGCCGCAGAGATGATCAGGGGCTGCAGCACCTCCACTGCAAAGACAGGCTGAGGGAGCTGGGCTTGTTCAGCCTGAAGAAAAGAAGGCTGCGGGGTGACCTCATTGCAGCCTGCAGTACCTAAAGGGAGCCTACAGACAGGAGGGGAGTCAACTCTTGGAAAGGGTGGATAACAGCAGGACAAGGGGAAATGGTTTTAAGTTGAGGGAGGAAAGATTGAGCTTGTATGTCAGGGGGGAAGTTCTTTACAGAGAGAGTGGTGAGGTGCTGGAACAGCTGCCCAGAGAGGCTGTGGATGCCCCGTCCATCCCTGGAGGTGTTCAAGGCCAGGTTGGATGGGGCCCTGGGCAGCCTGGGCTGGTATTGAATGTGGAGGTTGGTGGCCCTGCGTGTGGCAGGGGGTTGGAGCTTCATGATCCTCGAGGTCCCTTCCAATCCTGGCCATTCTGTGATTCTGTGATCCTGCTGTTCCCACAGCCCCAGCTGCTGAGTGCAGAGCCCCCTGAGGACTGGAACACGCGGCCGGTTAAAGTGCTCGTGGGGAAGACCTTTGAGCAGGTAGCATTTGATGAGACCAAGAACGTCTTTGTGAAGTTCTGTAAGTGCTGAAGTGCCATCCCTGAGCTCCATCACGAGCATCCATCCTCTCCATGACCACTCCTGCACCCCCATCCCTCGCCTATCCCCGGTGCCCCCAGCCCAGCCGTGACCTCCATCGCCGTGCCCATCACAGATGCACCATGGTGCACCCACTGCCAGGAGATGGCAGCTGCCTGGGAGGAGCTGGGCGAGCGCTACAAGGACCACGAGGACATTATCATTGCCGAGATGGATGCCACGGCCAACGAGCTGGAGAACATCAGCATCAGCGGATACCCAACACTGCATTACTTCCCTGCTGGGCCGGGCAGGAAGGTGGGTAGGGACGGGTATGGGGCACCCCTGGCTCTGCCAGCACCTGAGGAAGGTTGGGCTCAGACGTCACCCTGTGTCCTCTTCCTGTCCCCTGTGTCCAGATGGTCGAATATAGGAGCACCAGAGACGTGGAGACCTTCTCCAAGTTCCTGGAAAATGGAGGGAAGCTGCCGGAGGAGCCACCCACAGTGAGTGAGGTGCCCCCATCCCAGGGCAGGGGCTGCCAGCTGGGGCACAGACCCTGCAGGACGCATGGGATGGAGACAGGCCATGTCCATCCCTGTCTCACCACCACCTTCTGCAGGTGTCCAAGGCCCCGGAGAACAGCACAGAGTCACCGAGCCCATCTGGCACAGCCGAAGCCCGGGAGGAGCTGTGAGCCCTGTCCTGCTGCAGCGGGCATTATAAATGACCCTGGAAATGATGCGGGCTCTGTCTGTGTCTGGGGGGGCACGCAGCACAGAATGGTGCCTGCTGGGCCTCTTGGGGACACAGTGCAGCTGGTGGGTGTCACGATGGGGGTTGAGCCCAGTGGGGTGTGCAGGGCAGAGTCTGTCCCATGGGCAGCTCAGCCTCAGGCACCCATGGCACTGAGCGTTCCCACGGAGGGGGTGCTGCCTTTGCCTCCCTGTGATGCTGGACCCAACACAGCCTGGGCACGATGCGATGCTTGTCCTCCTGACCCAGCAGTGTGAGAGTGCTGCAGGCAGCCCTTGTACTGCCCCAGGCATGGGGCTGAGCTGTCAGGGTGTTGGGGATGAAGGAACCACAGAGGCCTTTTGGCTTCATGGCCTCAAGGCCTCCTGCCCCATGCCTGGGCTGCAAGAATGCAGAGCTGCCCCAGGGCTCCAGTCCCAGAAGCTGCTGTCACACCCTGGGAAGGCAGGAGAAGCCCCAGATGGGCTCCAAGCCCTCCTCTAGAGCCTTTCCAATGCCTGGCTCACAGCCTCAAGGCCCCCTGGCACTCCCTCAGTCCCCAGCACCGTCCCCTCTCCCTGAGCTGCTGCTCTCCAGCCATAAGCAATGGCTCTGGGATCCCCATGCCCCCCATCCTGTGGGCAGCCCCACCGTGTGCCCGTGGCCCTGGGCCAAAGCAGGGCCCTTCTGTCTGCTCCCATTCACCAGTTGTCTCAGCCCGCTCCCACGTCTGCTCTGCAGGGAAGGAAAAAAACAGAAGGCACCGGGATGTGGGTTTTTTATTTCATTTTATCCAAGTACCTTTGAAAAGATCATTGTACAAGTCAGAACATGAGGATGCACAGGAGACATCACCAGGGCTGCACGGCCGCTGGAGGACGCTGCGCTCAGCAAATGTACATATTTACAGGGAACCCCCTGAGAAAAAAAGGGGGAGACGGAAATCCCAGGCATGGTAACAACCTCACCAGACACAACACCATCAGAACTTAAAAAAGAGGGAGGAAAGACGTTCGTAACACTGTTCCCTGGCTGAAAACGATTGCAGATTTTGCTGGACTTCACATAGTGATAGGCAAGTCACAGAACCATGTTTAAAGGCACTCGGTGACGTGTACAAGAGGCTGAGTTGTCCCCACACAGTGCCACTCGGCCCCAGCCCTGCAGGCAGCCGAGTTGGGCCCCAAAATGTGCTGCAGCAGCAGTGGGCAATGGGCACACGGGTGGGCAGGGTGAGTGCTGACGTGGGACCCCCTAGGAGCTGGCAGTGGGGGCACAGAGGCTGGGTTTGCCCAAGGGCGAGAGCAAAGCTGTGGCTGCTGGGGCACAGAGCATGGGCTGGTGGGGAGGGCAGGGCTGAGGGCAGGCGGAGCTGAGCTCAGTCCCATCTGCACACCCAGGCAGCAACCCCTTACAGTGACTGCAGCATTCAGGGGAGCTGGCCGTTCACATCCCCACAACTCCTTTGCTTCGGACCACAGTGCCCTCACACTGCCTCCCCAGAGACACAGAACCTGACAGAAGACACAGGACTCATAATGTGATGGTTTTTGTCCTCAGACTGGAAGCGTCCAATTGGTTTCCTCCCCATACTACCTCTCTCCTAAGGCAACTCCCCTGACCAAAGTCCAGCCTTGGCACTGGGGGCCTGCGCATGGCTGCCAGCCCTCTGTGGGGCTGCAGCACCCTCCAGGAGGCAACGTCTGCCCCAGGAGCAGGCACACGTGGGGGACAAGCATAGGGCATGGGATGCCAGTGCCCAGCCCTGCAGTGCTGAGCAGCAGCTGATCCTCACTGGTGGCCCACAGCCCTGCCCTGGTGGAAGGCACCATGGGAAGCCTGCAGCACCAAGAACTGGCACCCGCCCCCCCTTCCCTTAGGGATTCACTCGGTCACAAGAAAGCTCAGGAGAAAAACCACCCTACCAGGTCCAGTAGCTGCAACTACCAGGGAGGCGAGAGCCCAGCTCGTTCAGAATGGCTCAGTTGTCTTCAGATTGTGCAGAAGTGCAGCGGTGCCCCTCTGGAGTGCAGCAGTGACTTCCACAGCAGCAGGGACAGCAGCTTGTCGGCTGGGTGCATCCCACCCAGCACTGCTCAGAGCCATACACACCGAGGGGACAGGGAAGGGTGCTGTGAAAGCGAGGACCACACGGAGTTTGACGGATGGCTGTACACTTTGGGTGAGTTCTGCAGTACCTGTATGTTTTACATTTACATAAGAGCACTGTGACATTGGAAATATTTTCCTTTTATTACAATATATCAAAAATATGCAGCTTTAGTAAACAAGTTCATTTTACACTTTCTAATGCACTGTACAATGCTACATTACACTTATATTCGGTATGGAGAGGGAGCCCAGGCTCCCACTGGCAGGTTTGTGGGGTGAAACGACTTCCCATGGCACAGCAGAGCTTGCCCAGGTCCTGGCACAGAGGGGGCTGCGCCCCGGGCTCGCCCAGCACCTCCTGGAGAAGCACCGCCAGCGTCCGCCCAGACCTTCCCCTCCAGTCCCAGTCTTTCACAGTCCTTTCCTCAAAGCCTCTGCAGCCTTGGAGCCTAGTCGATCTTCTCCACCTTCCCGATGATCTTCTCTTCGAAGATGGGCAGGATGGTGTCGTCCTCCCGCACCTCCTCGAAGACCACACCGCAGTCGAACTCGTCGCTCACTTTCTTAAAGTAATACCTGAGAGAGCAGAAACACGGGGACACAGGGGTCAACCTGTGTGGGACACCGCAGTGCCACCCAAACACAGGGAGCAGCACCTCCACGGCTGTGAACTCATGAGGAATGGGAGCAGCCACGGCAGACACTGAGGCTGGCATCTGCCCCTACCCTCTCAGTGACAGCAGTCAGAATGCATGCGGGCACGTTGAGGAGCTCAGGTTCTGAATCCCAGCCCGTTCTCAGCTCTCACAAAAGCTGGCTGGGGGTCCTGATGCTGGCAGGGCCCTGGGGCGTTCCTAAGCAGGCTTTCTTCCCCAGGCAGCTCCTACTTGGAGGCGGTGCTTTGCAGAGCTTCCTATCCCACACCTGGTGCTACAGAATGAGGGCATTTTGGGACTCAGCAGGGCCCAGTCTCCCTGCTCACACTGAAGGAAATTCTGGGAGCCTGAAATGGCTCTGGCAGTTGGGATGTTCCCCACAGCATCGGCAAGCACTGGTTGATGCTGCTCCTCACCAGCCCAGGACACTGTGCAGCCCTGTAGGGCAAGCGACTTCTGTTTGGGGCACAAACTGTGATGCAGAATATTTCTGGTAGAAAACACAATCTCATAACCTGCCTCTTCAACAGCCAGACCCTCCCAGTCAAACCCAAACATAAGCCTGCTTCCATGAGGCAGGATTACAGATGCAAGTATGAGTTCTACCCTTCCTGGCTCACTTTGGGACTTACTTTTCTAAGAGAGTGTCCACTGGCAACCAGACACTTGTGCTGTGCTGCCATAACCCTGCAAGGCTGCTGAGAACCCCAGGAGCTCCCCTGACCTACCTCCTTTGCCTTGACAGGAGCAACAACGCTGCATCCTGGTGGTGGCGGCTGCCAGGGGTTGCTGAGGTTGCTGACAGTATGCTGGCACCACACTGCACGTGGTGAGCAGCCCTTACCTGTAGTTCCCTTTCTTGGTCAGCAGCTCCTTGAACTGTCCCAGTGTCACCACGCGCCCTTTGACGAGGGTGCGGTACGGGATGGGCTCTCCACAGAAGTAGTAAGCAACCACGATGTTCTCACATGGCTGGGATGCACCACTGCCCGGCCTCTTCTGGGGCTTCAACCTGTTGTACGAAATCACAAGCAACATCCTGAGTATCAGCCTTTGGTGCTCGGAACAGGCCCAGCATCATCACCAGCACTGGGTGCTGGTCTGGGTGAGGGGCTGCCTGTGCAGGGGGTGCAGGTCAAGACCTTCCTATACTTGCAGAGAACTGGGGCCTTTCTGTATGGAGGTGCCAAACTAACAGTCAGGAAACACGTTCTACTCTGACCACCTTTCTTGGCGCACACCTGCACACTCAGGCTGGTGGAACAGCTCTTGGGAAGGCTGGATGGAGGCCAGGCTGCAGCTGGGAGGAAGCAGGCACGGGTTCCAGCTCAGCCTCTTCATGCTGCAGAAAAACCCATCCCCAAGGACAGGCTTGGAGGGGTGCCTTTCCTGCAGCACTGAACTCTGAGAGCAATGGGTAGGGCATGGCAAGGCAGAGCATCACAGGCCCATTGCAGCCAATTGATGTCACCCTGGTGTGCACCAGCATGATTGGGCTTCAGGCTTCTGGCTTGCCACCTCAGTACAAGAAGTGCTTCAGTGATGGCTTGCAGGATTTGGTTGGCAGGAGAAGCCTTCGTATCCACGAGACAGAAGGAGAAGAAAGTGCCATCCTGTCAGCTAGCAACTGCTTCTGTGAAGCATCTGAAGCTCCCGTGTGCAGCTGCGGGGCAGTGGGACGTGCCACACACTGGGCCCTTTGCTGCTCATCCCATCTTGTCCTGTCCCATCCATGCAGGGTGACAAGGCCTGGCTGGGCTGCTGGCTGGATTTTGGAAGGCAGACACCATCCTCAAACCCCCAGTGAGCAGACTTGGAATCTCTTGCTCTTTCCTGCCTCTCAGGATGTCGGTCTGCTCCTCACCTCCAAGCCCACACACTGGCATTTGCTATGGGGTACCATCACCAGACTGAAAGTGTCAGCCCAGTCCTCGCCTCGTTTTCAGAGTCAGACAGAAGTAGCAACAATAAAAATAAGGGTACTTTGCACTTCTGTGGAGCCTTTCATCTCGGGCTCTGTAAATGCTGCACAAACATTTGAGCAGCCTACACAAATGCGTTGCTTGGCATGTGTGGTCTCAGCCAGAGGCTGCCTTCTCTTTCAAAATCACATAAAACAAATTTGGCAGCTTTAAAATTATTTAAAAGGCACACAGGGTAAAAAAAAAAAAAAAGAAAAGAAAAGATGATTTTGTATTTATATGACTGGAAAGTTGCTATAAAAACTGCATATGCCAAGCACATGAGCTAATGGCAGTTTTGGAAATGGTTGTGACTCTAACCTTTAAATACTGGCGTGAAGTCACAGCACCTTTTTAATGGCATGCCCACATAAACATTGGCATTGCAAACCAAGACCAGTGAAAATTCTGCCACCTCTTTCTAAAGCCATGAGAGGTCTGAAGTTCAGCTGAACAATGCTTCTGGTGCCTGCTCTGACCTGGAGGCCTTTGGACAAACTGCAGCATCCCGAGAGGCGATGGTGCTCCTGGTGCCAGCATGGCTCTTAGCACCCATCCCTCTATCAAAGCACAGGATGCCCTTCAGCTAGAAAAAACATTAAGAAATTGAATCATCCTTGGAAAAAAAAATAATCATGCATTTAAAGGAAAAATGGGTCATAAATTCAGGCAAATTCTGCGCATCCTGTGAGCCAGAAGTTAATTGAAGGGGTTTGGAAAACCTCAAAGTCCCTAAGCTTCTCTTAATGCTGCTGGAAACGAGTCATGACTACGAGAGAGCTGCTGGTGCCCAGGGGAGCTGGCACGGAGGCTGGCGGGGACACGACGACGCGCTGTGCAGCAGCATGGTGCTCAGGCTGCTGGGGGGCAGCTCCTTGGTCACTGGGGGGGTGGGCAGGACTGTTAGAACCAACACCTTGAGCTCCCCAGCTCTGTTAGAAGCCAGAGCAGATCGTGCCAATGGCTGGGAGGCTCCTCCTCCTCCCGCTGTGTAATTTGTGCCTGAAAAGCTGCTTTGGGGTGACCTCAGACCGGCTGCTGTGCTCCTCTGCCCCAGGCTCAGAAAGGGGCTGCGGGGACCCTGTGGCTTCCTGAAAGCATGCGAGGGAGAAAAAGCCTCCTGGCTCTTTCTGACAGGACCTCCAGAGGCCACCAGTGATGGGACAAGAACCAAAAGGTCTGTGTCTCCTTGTGGGAAGGAACATCACCTTTCAGAGCATCACAGAACACACACGCATCCCCAGATCTCTAGCAAACCGAAGCAGGGATGATAAATAAGAAATCATTGACAACACAATTTTCCAGGCGTACCTCTCCTGAGAACATGACAACACAACCATCTCTGCTGTCATCATCGCCCAGAAACCTCCTGAGACCACTTCTTACCCAGATGGGCCCCTGCTGAGCGCTGCTCCACCACAGCACGCCTGAGCCCTGCCTCATCTGCACCCATCCCCCGGGTCTGCAGTGTGCCCTCTGCACGAACACACACAAGTAAGCTCTGTTCCTTCTTCTGGCCTCAGCTCCTTTCACAACGTTTGTCACAAGCAGGAAATGTTACCCAGCAAAGTAAGTGCAGCGCTGACTGCCTTCCTGCACCTCAGCCCACCCCTGGAGGTGCCCACGGAGCCCTGAGCTGGGGGCAGGCAGCCCATAGCAGGGGTGGGGGGAGCTGTAAGGTCTCTTCCAACCCAACCACGCTGTGATTCTATGGTTCTATGATCAGCACTAACTCAGCCCGTGTCAGAGCACAGACACAGCCTGGCTGCGATGCTGCCATGCCCGGCACAGGAGAGGATTGCTCCATCCCAGCCGTGGGGCCGAAGAGCTGTGCAAAGCCTGAAATACAGCCAGCAGATGTTACCTCAGGAGGAGCCCCAGCATCTGGCTCTGGTCCTCTTCCAGGCCTGGCCCAAACAAACTAATTCCAAACCAAGCTCACGCTAACATTTTTGCTGGAGAGTCTAGAAAATTCTTTTGCTGCATGTGAAAATCTTTTCTCTGCAGAGCTGCTACTAATTACTTCTTCCAGCTGCAAACATAAGCACTGCGACAGTGAGCTGCAGAAAATGGCTCAAAAACTGGCTGCATAGGCAAGCAACCACTGGGATAAGGCTCTCCCCCAATGCAATAGGCACAAGAGGTCTGTGTGTCATCCAGCACTGGACATTTAGCTTGCATAGGCTCCCACCAAAAGTCATGCAGCCATCCCAAAGATCAGTGCCCCAGCCCCAAACACTGTGTAACAGGGAGAGAACGGCTTGTTCTCCTGCTAACCATGACAGGAGCTCTCTGAAAAGATGTGAGCTCAGCCATGCCCCAGCTGGAGCACACAGTCCTGCCACAATCCAGAGGAGAGATTTCAGCATCAAGAAATCCTTCACTTCCCAGGGGCTGCATCCATTCTTGTGTGCTACTGAACACGGACACGTCTGCTTTTCATTAGCAGCTCCCCACCAGCAGGCACCCCTTCCTGGCTTTCCACACGTCAGGCAGGTCAGTGGGACCCCTGTATCCTCAGGAAAACTGACAGGCCTTGTAAGGAGGCAGCACAAGTGGGAAAGCAGAACAGCCCAGCATGGCTCAGCCTGCTCTCCTGCTGGTCTGGAGGGCACACACTGCCACGCCATGGGCTTTCTACAGAAGCTCCAAGTTGTTATTAGGGTATTCAAGACTCACGTATAAAGCCCAGGCTGGTGTTTCCCAAGTGTGCATCTGCACCTAGACATTTCTTGGGAAGCTGAATGAATTTAATATGACTAAATGACTCCACAGATAAATCCCATCCAATCATACCAACTGAAAGTTAGATCAAATAGGCCTGGCCCAACCTGACGTGGGAGAGCCCTCTAATTATTAGCTTCCAATCAATGCTCTGACATAGATATGCAGAAGTCTGCTACATGACCATTGCAAGCAAAAATAATTGGAGTTCAGCAATTAGAGGAGCTTGTTCTTTAAATTACACTCGTGTTTCTGAGTGTCAGACTCCAAAGTTTAGTTTTCAGAACACAGCTATAGGGCAATGAAGCAAACAATTCCCATTGTGGAAGAATTTTAATGGTCAAAGTGCTTCTAGTTCTTAACAGTAATTATCAAGCACTTTCAAAATGCTTTTCATCTGAGAGCTCTGTGTGCCTTGCAACTGATCTTCCCTGAAAGATAATACAGGAGCAGAAGAATCAGCTCTGCAACAGGCATTGAGCTGAGTCACAGGAAGCTGCAGTGACTTGGCTACAGGCATGCAGAGCACAATACTGCTGCAGCAGTGTGCAGTGCTCCCCCTGAGCTGCCATGAGCCATGAGTGGCCTTTGCTAGAAGACTGAATGAGATGTAGATAAAGAGCAAATATTCTTCTGCACTTAATTTTGCTGTGTTCTGCTGAATTCTGCTACTGCACCAACCAAGAACCCTGCGACCACTGTGTGTGAATGAACTATGAGTGTGCCAGTGAAGATGAGGTGAGCACAGCAAGCCAGAGGCTGACTAGATCCGCAAAGAGAGCTCTTTCCTCATATGCTATTTCTAAACAGGCTCCGCCTGCCCAGGCTCATTCAGAACACTTCTAGACACAAAACACAAGCCCAGGCCTTAAGGCAGCTTGTGGCATTTGCACCACTGTCAGAAGCCATGTCAGAGAGACTGGGGAGACTTTCCTAACTTCTCTGCAGGTGCCTCCACTCAGTACTGGAAACTGGAGCACAGCACCTCCCACGGCTCCCCAGCCACAGAGCAGCCTCCCCCTTCTCTCCCATGCACGCTCAGACCCTACCTACAGGCCATACCTTTGTTTCAGTGGGAGTTTTCCAGCTCTCTTTTCTTCCTCCTCCAACCTCCTGCGAGCTTCCTCCAGCTGGGTGAGTGGGTTGGGTGCTGGGTTGGGTGGCATGGTAGGATCTTGGATGAAAGGGTGTGAAGGCTGGACAACGTTCCGGAGTTGGGCACTGACCCACGGATGCACTGCAACAGGCCGCTCAATGGAGAGGGGTCGGACCATGTCATGGGACAGCTGCTTCTTAGCACCTGAAGAGCTACACACAAATACAAAGGTTTTACACAGACTGCCCAGTCACTCTGCATACGTGCACATCCAGATGGATGATTGCTTCCTCAGCTGGACACAAGCACTGGGAGGCTCCTTGCAGCACGGCTGTGCTGCGGTTTGTGAGGGACTGGGGAGCACCACCCAACCCGCTGCACCCCCAGAGAAGGCTTTGGGGCAGTGCAGCACTGCCTTCTCCAGTGTTTTGCTGAGACATCGGGTGAGCAACCCAAGCTTAACACAGAGATCACCAACGTGTTTTAGTGCTGCCATGAAATGCACAACAGAAACAAACCCAGCGAAAGGCAGCTCAATGACAGACCAAATTCACTCAGCAGGATCCGCCACAGGACGCCCTGATGTGCGCTGCCAGGCTGTGAGCCCCTGATGGGCAGTGGATGTTGCAGCAGTGTGTGCTCATCCTTGCCAGCCCCTGCAGCACTGCCCAAGGCTCTGGCACGGCCCCAGCTGCCCGCAGAGCAACCTGTCTCAGCCTCTACTGTGAAACAAGACAAAAAACAACTGTGGTTTCACCAGTAGTCACAAACGCAGTTGCGGCAATGCGGAGGAGACCCCAGATCCCTCTTGTTGCTGGCACCATGAAAACACGTCTTTTTCCCTGAGATTGGCTAGGCTGTGATCTGTGCCTGTAGATCTGCTTGATTACAGAGAGATTCTGGACACACCTTTGGCTCTAGAGAGACAAGGCGAGCCCAGAGGATGCTCTCAACAAGCCCAAACACTGGGCAACTTGTTCTCCTTGCCTGAGCCCTCTTAAGCTGCTAACTCAGGACCAATGGCTCCAGTGCAGCAGGTCCTATGTTTCTATCAACACCTTGCACGACTAACAGCTGTTTATGTACAGCAAGTGCCTAAAGCAAAAATACTGCCTACTGTGTGCCACATTATCCATTTTGTACCCACAGCAGCAATTTGTGAGATTCCTCTGAGGCTTCAACCTTCCCCCACAACCACAGTTCATTATTTAGGAAAGAAAATGAACTTTATGGTTAAAGCCCCCAAGCAATCCTCAATCTCCAAAGGACCTAAACCCTCGCGCCTGGTGGATGTTTGTCTTCCCAAGACCTCCAGGAACAAGGCAGACCACTGTACAGTCTACACCAGCCTTATGCTGGTGCCAGGGGATGCAATAGGACAGCATGAAGACTCCTCACTCTACCAGCCCTTACCCATGGTTTGTTTTCTTATGCCTGCTGATCTCCTTCTCTCCTTCTATGATCCACTGAAGGATCTTCTGGTTTCTCTCCACGTCTTCAGGAGATCCTGGCATCTCATAGTTGGCACCATCACTTTTCCCTGAATCGGTCTTCTTAATATTTCTTTTTGAGAGCAGACTTGCTTTTCCACTGCAAGAACAAAGCTTGAGACATTAGTGCTTTGCCTAAGCCAAACCTCCACAGACAGTGGCAGAGGATGGACACATCCATCTCAGACAGATTCAGCCCTGCCAGGGTCTGCTTGGCTCTACTACAGTTCAATTGTCCGTGCCATGGCTGAGGCTCAGGGCATATCAGGCTCTCTGTCCAGCCACCTGAGAAACAGGGAGTGCATCTGGCAGATGAGCCGTGGCAATGCAGCAAAAAGCCCAGCAGATCTCCTGCCACATGAAGGACTGTGTTCAACCCTCAGCTCTCTGCTCCAACATGGTCAGTAGGCTCAGAGCACAAAGCTCTGCAATCCACTGGCTGCCTCTCCATGTCAGACCACTGCTCTTACCCTGAGCTCTTCCTGTTCCATCCCCACACCTGCTTACTGGTTCACTAGCACCCCAAACCCTACCCTGCCATTCTGCCATGCCAACAACTTGCTTCTCACCACCACTTGAGCTGAGGTTTCATATTGTGGTAAAACTTTTTTTTAATGCAGGCAGCCTTCTGCAGGCTGTCACCTACCTGGGCAATGCAGCCACGTCAGACTGCAGCTAGACTGAAAGCAGGCAGTTACAGACAGGCCCTGGCTACGTTTATGGCTACAGCACATCATTACAGTTATCCTATCCCTCCTTGGCAATGTGCTGCCCATTTGCCCAGTGGTGCAGCCAGGCAGCTACATGCTCGTGGGGCTGCACAGAGCTGGCCTGTCATTGCCACAGCCAGCAGCTTTACTGGACAACCCCGCATCCTGATCACCCACCTGCATTACCATACTTCTATGTGCTCATTAGCATTGACAGAAAAATAGAACAAGAATGTTCACATGCAAACTCTTCTCTTATGAAGCTCCCACCCTGGGGACTGTCAGGAACTGGGAGTTTGTGCTAGAGAAAGGACAGCTCTGACGTGCCCTCTGACATTTCCTTTAAGCATATGCTGCAGACAATGCTAGAGAGAAGTTCTGTACTTAGATGGGGCTTTGGTAGATCCAGCATGGCCACATGCATGCTTTGTAGAAGCAACCAAGCCATATCTTAGTTCTGTTACTACAGAAAAAGGGCAGATGTGGGGGCCCTTCTTCCCATCTGCCTGGAAAGCAGCTTTCTTCAGCTGCCCCTATGCTTTGCCTCCCTCCTCCCACCTCAGTAAGTTGTTCCTACACACTGATCTAGCTGCCTGCTTTCACTAAACATCCTACCCCTGGTACACTGAAAAGACTTGCCCCCAAATAACACCTCAAGGAGCTAGTGAGCTCTCCACTCCAGTTACTCCACACTTACAATCAGCATTCATTATTCAAGGTAGCCCTGAGCCTCACCTTTGCAATAATTCAAACACAGGACTAGCAAAACCTGCTGCTGTAGAGAATGAGTTTCACCTTCTCCTTCTCTGGAGGAACTGGGTGGTGGATGAAAATCTGAACACCAGCAGTGCACTCTGCAGCCCAGAAAGCCAGCTGAATCCTGGGCTGCATCTAAAGAAGCCCTGTCAGGGAGAATGCCCCCTTGGGACAGCAGGCCACAGCAGCACCAGAGCATCCACTGCTTAGTCAGGAAGAAAAAGGAAAGCTTCTGGTGAATAGAACAAGTCTTGCAAAAAGTTGGACCTTTTTGTTTTCTCATAAACAGCTTAAGAACCTGGTTTCTGTTATCCAGACCCTAAGACACAGTCCAACCTTACCATCTCCCAAAGCACAGGGAAGCGCCAGCACCTCTGCTGCTTTAAGGAGCAGAAGTGCTACCTTATAACCCAGGCCATTAAAAATCCTGGTTAGACAATTTCATCACCAGGCCACAGAGATTTATGTGCTATTAGAAGCATACTCATTTCTGAAAGGAAGCATAGTGGGAGGCCCTTAAGCTACGTTCTACAAGAAAATATGGCCCAGTCTGCCTGTGCCACTGCTGTGCAAGAGCCCATTTATGAAACACACCCTACAGAAGCTCCAGCTCTGGGACTCCCCCAGGTGCTGATCTGACTCACCTGTAGCCTAAAGAGTCCATGGGGACAGGGGCCATGCCCAAGTTTTCAGAGTAGTTTCTTGACTTTGTTGCATAGTTATGTGAATCTACATTCCAAGCAAAGCTGTTCTGCACTCTCTGCGTGGCCTCGGCCTCAATTTGCTCTTTTGGTTTCATCATGCTGTGGTGATGGATGTGGTGGTAGACATGTTTATGGTGGTATAAGTTAGCTGGATCCAGTTTCATTCCTGATTTCGTGGTGTGCTTGCCGTGCCCTGGAGGAATTGTTCCAAGTGTCCCTGACAGCTTTCCTAAGTGGCCGCTTTCTGGAGATCGTGGCTTGGGAGAGTGGCGGCCGGGGCCTGGAGACTGACAGCCTGGTGTCTTCATCACACGCTGCACGTGTTCGTCCAGGATGCTTTCTGGGTTTTCTTCATGTGCATCTCTCATCTGCATCCCAGCACAGCCCATCTCAGAGTAGCGAGGGGCGAAGTGATGAAAGGGTTGGGCGGAAGGCATCTTGTGGCTAACGATTGAAGGACCAGAAGAGATATCTGCATCCTCGCCTTCTTCTTCCTGCGAGAAACAAGAGGACAATTATAAAGGTGGCAGAAGAGGTCTCTGGGGGTCTTCCTGCTCACAGCACGACTGTTGCCAACACTCGGATGGGTCACCCTTGGCTTTGGCCAGCCGAGTTGTGAAAATCTTCAACGTAGAGATGCTCCCCTCTTTGGAGTCCTGCCCCAGGCTGTGCCACCTTCCTACAGAAAGCTCCCTAACACACACCTGAGCTGCCCTGTCTCCGAGCTGCCACACCAGCTCCATCCCTGCCTGCTGGGACACCATCAGCGGGGTTCACAGCATCCAGGGTGAGCCAGGCGACCGCTCACACAGCCCACACATCACAGCCACGCACAGGGGCAGCTACGTGCAACAACTTGATCGGATTTATGAGCAGGCAGAGGTTCCTTGAAGATGGCTCTGTAACAACCAGCAGCAGATCACACCTCACCACACACAAAGCTCACCAGATGAAGCACAATGTTGCACCACGTGCAGCAAGTCAGGAGGTACCACGGGCTTTTCTTGCCCGAGTGACTTTCACAGAGCAAGGCAATCAGTGGGCTTGTAACAGGAGTGTGCAACTGGAAGTCGACAGCAGCGTGAACGGTTTTGAAAATCAAACCCTGCTTTCTCCCAGGCATGCTGACGCTGCAGCAAAACCCTCCACGCAGATAAAGAAATGGCTGGAACTGCCTGCTTGCTCTCGTGGCCCACAGCAGCCTCGGACATGCTGTTGTTAGTGGCTCTTACAGCCGTGCCAGGAAGAATAAAACTCCTCCATGCTGACAGCCACAGTTTTGATGCTGACAAACTATTTTACGCTCCAACATAAACTCAAATATTTATGAAGTTTCTTTATTGGAAAACAGGATTCTTATTTTTTAAAATTACATAAGTAGGATTCCAGCAAGCGCTTTAATCCCGCTCTCTTTTCTTCCTTTGGTGCAGAAAAGAAACCGTTTGCAGCATGTGGTATCTCTGCCCTGCCAGACAAGTGCATCTGCTGGAAAACACTGCCTCCCACCAGCTCTGCCTGTCGGATGTCCCCATCCATCACTTGCTATTCAGCTTCAAAGTCTCAGCTGCCAACCACAGTGCGAGAAAGCAAATAACAGACTTCCTCCCCACGTCACACCTGGGGGTTCAGAACTCAACCAAGGACAATGGCAGCCTTTGAAAGCACCAAAGATGTGGGTGCCTGCTGTGCCCTCTGCCAGCAACTCCTCCAGGGGGCCATGCCACTGCTGAGCAGCATGGTGAGCACAGAGCTAGTAGGAGCAGCCTGAGGAAGGCTGCCCAGAGCAAAACCATGCCACAAATGCAGTCCCAGCGGATGAATCAGGTGTGGAGCATGGTGGAGAACTGCAAATGTTTTCTCTTTACATTCCCCTCTCTCGCTGCAATATGAACCTACTTCAAAAGTTGTTCAGAACTGTCTCAGCACGTAGCGGGGATCAGAACGGGCTGTTGTGCAAACACCTCAGAACAAGGCTGATCCCACAGCACAGCAGTCCTGTTACAGTGACTCAGATGACAGCAGGTCACTCTGCAGATCTGGAGCTCAGGCTGACGTGATTCCCACTTCCACAGGAGATACACTACTTTCTCACTAACTGCTCTTAAAATCTTTACGAGCACCTTTCATCTCCAGCGACAACACTGCAGTCTGCAAAACCCCATCTCTGCACAGCTGGCTCAGGTACAAGACAAAATAGAATATGCACAGCCTAAACCCATAACGCTGGGTTAAATGACTATGAGCAGGTTGTGATAACCCAGTGACACACTCATCACTTTGGAGGCTTTTAGGGCTGGTACCTACGTTGTTCTGCTTAAGGACTGAGGCCAGGGTGGGCTGAGGGAAGGGGAAGGATGCACTGTCTCACTCTCTTCGGCCTGTCTCAGCTCATCTGTGTTACCAAGCTCTGGGGGAAGTTGGCTTCCTCACCCCAGCATTGGGTTCGGCCTTGCATGGAGCAGGGAACCCACAGTTATGAGAAGGGCAGGTAAGCAGGGATGTAGGCTGCCTGGCTCAAGCTGTCCTCTCTACTAGAGCAGAGCAGAGGCTGAAGGCACAAGTCGAGGCTGCAGATACCACTGTGCTGAGTTTACAGTGAAAGCAATGACACAGTGCACAAAGCTGGAGACAATTCAAGCTGGAGATGAAATGCAGGATCTTGGCTAGTGCTGTGCAACATGCACAAAGGCTGGTGCATGGTGAAGACAACAGCACTTCCACGCTGCCCTGCGTGACAGATCCCTACCTGCCCAGCAAATCCAGAAATCAAGAGCTTGCAAATTGCCTCATACAACATACACAAGTCAGCCCCTCACCTGGCACTTCTGGGCCTGCTGCACACAAACCTGAGGAACCAGGAGGATCGGCCTCCGAGCCTGCCCAGGGCTGTGCCTACAGGTCTCCGCAGCCGCCTGCAGCCCACGCCGCGGGTGGCACAGCCGCTAGGTGGTGCTTGGGGGACGCGGTACTGGCAGGCACATCCTCCGCCAGCTCGCACAGCCAGCGACAGTTGGATGCTTCGACTTCACTGACTGCCTGCTGAGCTATTTTTACTCTGCAGCCCAGCCTGCGCCCTTCCCTTTGAACCGAGAGGCTGAACAGGCACTGCTGCGCTACGGATAAACGCTATCTTGCTTTAACCCCACACCTCCTCCCAGTCCCACCATTACAGCTCACCTAGCACAGGAGTGCATTTACATCTTCAAGCAAACCATTTTCCTCTCTACTCAGACAACGTTTTACACTCAAATACTGAGCATCTCAACAACAGTTTTGCTCCTTCTGCACCTGGCTCAATTGAAACTCACTGGGTTTGGAGGCAGTCCTGCAGCTACCATTCAGCTGAGAGATTAACAAGGCAGCATGCACATCCTCCCATCACCTCCTATGCTGCTCAACACAATTAATGAATTCAGAGCTTTTAGGTTTGTTATTTTTTTTATTCAGCAGAAGTCATCTGCTTCTCTACCAGGTATCTCTTTCAGATGTTACTGTGCTTTGAAAGGGAACCTGCAGGCAGCCCAGTATGGGGGGAAAAATCCCTTTTTTGAAGCTTTTGCACAATATTTCCAGCTTCTCTGCTAAGCTGATAACTGCCCAGTGTGAGTAATGTTGTATGGTTTTCCCTGTGCTGCTGTGCAATGAGCCATGCAGAACCAGTAAGAGGTCACCCTGTAGTCTTGGTGTTCAGGACACACAAAAAACAACCCTGTGATCTACGAGGACCCAAGCTCTCCTCTTGCTGATTCCAGCAGCTCTTGCACCTCAAGTACTGACCTTAAAAAGCTACAGTTGCTTACTCTGAGCTTTTCCTGAATAGCTAATGCTAAATGCCAGCCAGTCAATGAAATATACTCTGTAGACAGCAAAGAGGTTTAATACATAGCAATAGCGGGAGGCTGGGGCTTCAAAATAGATTAAGTTACACAAAAATATGTTTAGACAGACTTAAATTTATTCTCTGGCACAGTTATTTGCTGATTTTATGGTATTGCTACTGGCAGCTTCTTCAGGGTGGTAGGGCTAATGGAGCTGGGCACTGCTGGGGGCAGCTGTATAGCCATGGGAGCAGGAGGAGGAGGACTATGAATGGAAATGCTGCTGGTTGCATTGGCTTTGTCAGAAAGCAGTAGGTATGGAGAAGAAAACAGACTAATTCCTGAAGAGCAGGAATCTAATGACAAAACAGCACCTTGCTGGCCTTTTTCTGGCTGGATGCTGAACACAGCAGTGCTGTGAGTTTGATGGACAATGCTTGGCACTGAAATGCTGCTCAGAGGTTACTCTGCATCCTCACTTCATACAGCGGAAATACATATGTGATTTAAATCAAGACTACAGCCCTATAGTGCCTTTTCTGTTTAGAGAGATACTAGATTAACTTCAAAAATATTGACAAATATTTAAAAATAATGAGCTTGAAGGGTCCACCCTGGAGCCACAGACACTCAGCTTCTCTAAAAGCACAGAGCTAGCTGAGATAGACAGGAACACCTCTGCTTTGAGGGAGAGCTGCAGGTTGCACAGCACACAGCCTTCGCCTCAGGGCTACAGCAGCTATTAACTGTGGAGACCCGTAACTTCTTCCCATAGGGCTGCAGTCATATGACATTTGTGATGCTCAGAAACACTACGATGTCCTCTGAAAAGCCTCCTGTGTCTCCAGCACAAGATAAGCACTTACCTATGAGATGCAGTACATCAGACAAAAGATAAGGTGTCAATACTGCTGAACAGGGTGTCTCACAATTGGACCACCAATAACTCCTTGTGGAGTTTGTTGAGGAACTAAAAGCTTTTGGTTCATCTGCCAAATACTCAGGTTTTGAAGGGCCCATCAGTACCAGGGCTTCCAGCACACAGTGCCACGGCTGGGCTTCCCTAGCCACCCTCGTGGAGTCCCTGCATTTCTCTGCCCAAGAGACAATCTCTGGATGCCACACCTGATGTAGGGATGTGCTTACTAGGTACTGACGGACAGAAGGCTTTCACAGCTGGTAGAAGCAGACTAAAGGCACACATAAACAACTGCAAATGTGACAAAATCTGCCACCTGTTTGCCCAAAGAAGGGGAAATAACACAAAACCCAACGCTCTAGGTGAATCCTTGTTATGTAGTGTCATCCTCACATGAAAGGGATGGTTTACAAAGTCTGTGATGGACAGGACAGTGAGGGTGCCAAAGACAGTGGAGAGCACCACAGTCCCTAACGTGACAGAAGTGGGCAGTGCTGTGCCACGCCTGGTGTCTGACGGCAGGGAGCATCTCAGAGCCCTGCACATGGCACACAGCTCCATGAAGCTCCTGCGGTGACTGGGAGCCTGCAGGACCCCACGCAGTGACAAACGTGGTCACCCAGGTTGCTTTCATGGCAGCTGAAAAATTCCTGTGCTGTGCAGTAAGCAAACGTCCCCGGGTTGGCACAAGAGGCAAGGAGATTACTGACCGCTCGCACACGCTTAAGGCGCTCCTCCAATTTCTCCTCTGCTTCACGTTCCTTCTGTACTTCTTCCAAACGATTGATCAGTTCTGCAGCAAACTTTTCTGGTTCAACATGGATATCCTTTGGCATTCGATATGTACGCTGGAGGGAAGACACACCAGGGTTAGCAAAAGGTGCAAGAAAATCACACATTTATTGTGGAGGCACAAATAACTGGAAACGCCAACTGTCCCACTGGAACACAAGCTGGCAGAAACAGGGGTGAGGCTTGGGACAGACCAGATGGAAGCCCATGAGCTCCCTGTCTGGTACCAGCTCCATATACCCCCTCACATAGGAAAAGGTATCCTAGAGCCAAAAGCAGCAAGCTCTTATGGCATCAGATTCCATTTAGGGACATATGCACGTGATAACCCTCAACATTAAAAAAGGTCAACACGAATATCCTGATCTCAAATGATGGGAAAAGGACAAACAGACAAACCTGTAAAAAATCATTACTGTAGTGATGTTTTCATTTGGACAGAAAGGAGAACTCCAGCGTGTACACTTAGCTTACTGCAGGTGGACCAGCATAAGACTTAAATCTTAAAGACTTAAATCCAGCTGCTTTCAAGAAATCCTACTTTTCTTCACCTTCCAGGCACAGCTTCTTCTAAAACCTACCAGCCACAGAAGGCCACTGTTCTGTAAAGCATCCTCTCTTACCAGAACCCAGAAGAACGCATGATTGCATCTCATCTCTTCAGAGCTGGGCAAAGACTGCTTGCTTTATCAACAACCTCACAAGCACAGAGATACCACTTTTCTTTCTGCCCTGTGTGAACTAATGAATAAACTTCAAGGGCACTCTCAGTTCCTTATGTTACCCTGTGCCTAAATTCCTGAGCTCTGGGATAAGGAGCCTGCGTAGCAAAGTATCAAGCTGACAGCCATTGCATTTTTCTCCTCATTTTCATCCCTAATGCATTATTTTGCCACTCTGCTAGTAGAGGAAATGACAGCAGAGAAAAAACAATAATGTGGAGGAAAAATAGATGGAAAATTCAACATTATAAAAACTTGCAATTGAATACTTCAGCACCAACATCTGAGCAATACATACCTGGCAGGATCAGAGATAAAACGAAATATGGATATACAAGAAAACTCACACCTAAAAATGCAGCACCAGAAACAGATATCAAACTTGGAGTCCTCAAAAGAGGATTAGAGACCACCCAAATTTACCCTGAGCCAGCATGAGGACCAGGGCAGAAGGCTAAAATACTGCTTTGCCTCAGAACTAACAAAGCATGCAAATCCTTGTTTTCCTCTCTGCCAACTGCTGAATGGAAAGCAAGGGGAAGAAAAGTAAGGGCAACGAGGGTCCCGCTTACTGCACTGTGAAGCTGGGGGTGTCTTCTGTGACACTCAGGTTCCAAGTTGCAATTTAAAGCACTAATTTTTTTGTTCACCGTGATCAAAACTCAGTCAACCCCGCCACCAGATCTGTTTCCACGCTTACTGCTATCAACAAGTGCAAGGGCAACGCACGGCTTCCCTCTGGAGGGACAGAAAGCTCAAGTTCTAGCATCTGGACCTTGTGTAGTACAGAAATGTGCCTGAATCACACATGATCACAGTGCTGATCACAGGACCTGACAGGGAGAGTCCCTTCCCTGTTATTCAGTGGGGAGCTGTCAGGACCCAAGTGATGCTTCCCCATTCCTCAATACCTGAGGAAGCACTGGCTAAGGGAGCCTGCTTCCATCAGACGGTGAGCCCCAAACCATGCAGCCCACCTATCTCAGATGGCATCACCAGCAGCTCCCCGTGAGGGAAACCTTTCTCTCACCTGACAAGTCACAGTGACTGTTCATTCTCTCCTGCCACCTCAGACACAGCAGCTCTCACTGTGGCTGTCTGTAGGATGGCAGCAGCAAGCCCTGCTCTGTTAGAAGCACGTCAGAAGCAGCAGCTTCCACAGAAAAGCAGAACCAGGAAAGAATCTCCCTTGATTTTCATAGCCTTTGATGCAATGCAATACCCCAAAATAAAATCTCTCCTGAGCACAGACTGCTGCAGCACTGGGTGCATAGGTTGAATTCTGCTAACCTGTGTGCTTGAATCCTGGTGAAATAAGGTCCAGGCCCAGCAATGCTTAAGGAGCACAGCTCCAACTCATTATAATGAGTATCTGAAGACATTCAAGGTCACTAGTTTATCCAGGGAGCTTGAGAAAGGACCACTTTGGTATTTTATGTCATGCTTCAGCACATTTATCCACATTCTCTCAAAGCCTGGAAGGGACTGAACGAAAATAATTGTGTCTAAGAACCTTTACAGTGAACTTTCTTTCCTTTCTCTTTGATAAACTGCTGTATCTGCAAAACACACTACCTTGTCCTGCAGGCTTTCACTCAGCACAACAGCTCATGGAGGTCCCACATCAGCTTAGGTGATGTGAAGGATGCCATCCCCACCAGGCAGCTGTCCTTGCCCCTCTCCACCCAAGTTTAATTTACCTGAAATAAACCTCACTTCACTATGAAGTGCACGCCATGTGCCAATGTTGTTCTAGTAGGCACCCATCATGGTGACCTGCAGAAAGCCAGCAAGCAGGATGATGCTCTGAACATTCCCATGGCTCTGCTTTTATTCCTAACTCAAACGATGAGCTAATCCCCCAAAACTAACAGTATTGGGAAAAAATAAATGCAAATTCCCTGCGCTGAAACAATACGGATCACAGCTGAGGACTCTGTCTCCTTGGACAGCAGGCATACACTGCATTGATCTGCTTCAAAAGCCTTACCACAACAAAGGATCTGAAACTTTTATCAAGCAACAGGCCTGACCTGGGAAAGGAGACACGATCCACTCCATGAAAACCCAGCCAGGCTGAGCCTGTGCCTGCAGGAGGACCCATTGGAGCCTCAGGACTTTGAACCTGCCTCTGTCTTCCCGTAAGCACACAGAGCCCTGCCCAGGGAGCCATAAATAAGCTCTTTATTGTTCTAAAATCAGAAGGACTCCAAATGCCTTTGTTTCAAGTAAAGGGTGCAGCATTCTCCAAGAGCTGGCTGCTCCAACACCCGCTGTTTTTGGAGGATACAGCCCTCCAGTCTGGACCAGAATAAGATCTCTGGCCATTTTGGGTCAACAATCCAGAAAGGAAGCAGTTCTTTTTAAATAACTTTGTTTTATCTAATGCTTTATTTAATTGTCTATCTATTTTTATTTAATGCCACTAGTTCAGATGAGGTCTGTCCCGAACCAAACCACGCTGAGCTGGGGAGGTTACAGAGAACAATGGCTGGGAGGCTGAATGCCAGATGGGCTGGCAAGAAAGAAATAGCTTGAATTGTTCTGGATGAAGGAATCTTTCCTAGTGACAGCTGTCAGGGAGGATTTCTTGGGGCACCTATCATCAGAACACTGTCCTTTATCCTTGACACACCAACTGTCTGCAGCTCCGGTATCTTTGGGAAGAATCAGCAGAACACAGGAGGTACAGAAGCTCTCCAGTAGCCCCAGTTAGCACCTGCTGTCACATGGCCTCCATCTTTTCTTGGAGCTGATGGAGTAGGAGCTACACAGATTCTGCTCGGTGAGGTTGAGGCAGGTCTTGGCTTCTGATGGATTTCCCATTCTCAAACTGTGGTTTGAGGACCACGTTGTGCATCTGAACACAAAGGCATCTGAAATGTACACCCACACCAGTTCTGTCTAGTTATACCTCATAGAGTGAAGTTGAACAGAATCTCAGGCAAGGAACCACACATTCGTCTACAAAGTTAGAAGCCAGGACCTCTAATGTTGTTGTGTGCTCTTTGTCATTACTCTGCCCTCCCTCACTCTTTCCTCCCTGCTGAGTTTTTGCCACCTCTTCAGCCTCATCACAGGGGCACTGGCTTTACTGTAATCTACATATGAAAAAGCTGAAAGGGAAGAATCTCACTGGGGCTTGCAGGTTTCTCCTTGGGAAGAATAAAATTCAATTGCACCGAGATGAAACAATTTTTCCAGTGTCATCACTGGGGAGAGGTCTTTAATCAGGGGAGAGATCTGACTAGGCCATAGAATTCAGTGATGGTAAATCTTGAATTTTGTTATACAGGCTTGATGCCATTGTGATGCTCAAGTCGCCAGTGTTTGATCAAAAGTCAGTTTTGGAGTTGAAACAGAGATGGCTGGCTAGAGAACTCAAGAAGGCAGGAGCTTCTGAATCCCTGTGTTTCCCAGCTCAATGAACTGCACTGTGATGTGTTCTTAAAGGACAAAAGGTCCCTACCAGAAACATTTGTGGCAGAGCTTATGAATAGCTGGATTTCAGCATCTACTCCAGCATCACCTCTGGGCATGAAGCACCCTTTTGGGTGCTCTTCCCTTTTCCTCTCTTTGCAGGGGAATATTGCAATGTGCTGCAGCATTTCTTGATTGTGGGGCAGAACAGGAAAGCTCCCACCAGATGAACAATCTAGAGCAAGAACATTGCAAACTGGTTTACCTGTGCAGGAAAACAAACAAAAAAAGGAATCCCAAATCTTTATGCTCGAGGTTGGATTCTCCTGACTTTGCCCAGGAGAAAAGGCTATCTACCGCCCTGACCAGGGATCTGATGAATGCCAGAGCCAGGGTAAATACAGTACAACAGCACAGGAAAGACTCCATGTTCTCTGGGCTTTTACCCCTCTTCCTCTGGCACCTTGCCTGCCTTTTTCTTCCTTGCTGCTCCAAGCCTTTGCTCAAATCCAAGAGCAAGGAGGAAAAACCACAAGAAAAGCAACATGCGCCCACTGTGCAATAGGTTCCCGGGAGAGGCACAAAGCAAAGGTCTTGCTAGAAACCCTCACCCACTGCATTCCTGGGCAGAGAGTCATTTCAGAAAACACAGCTTTTCCAAACTCTGAGTGTTTTTAAGTACGGAATACGAAGAACACAGCCATCCACTCACTAAGATCTCCAGCTGCGCAGGGAGGAATCCTACATGACTAACACATGTCTTCTCTGTTCGGAGGCCGCATGGCTGCAGGCAATCTCCTATGAACAACAGTTTATAGCTTCTAGACCTAAACAGTATGCTGCTATTAAAAGCAATATTAAGTCCATTCAGAATTTTGCATAATAGCCCCATAACTCATTTGAAAAGGAACAATAAGGTCTCTGACTGACTTCTAAAATGACTTTCTGGAGGTTCTCTACCATCAGCAGGAAAACATGACATGCATTCTGCAAGCAAATTCTGCAGTATGGATTCTCGCTATACTGGTTAGATGTGAGTCCATACAGACCTTCACCCAAAGACTACAATTTAGTCACTGCTTCATGCCTGAAGTCTTGCTAACCCCCAGGTCCAGGCAGCCCACAGAGTCTGCTCAGCCACGGGCTGCACGATATCCTAACCGCTGGGTTTAGAAAGCAACATTTGAAGAAACATTTGCATGGCTCTTTGCTAATTGGCCACGTTTAATTCAATAAACTTGCTGTTAGAGGTATTTTAAAACACCAACTTCATAACATTTCACTGGTGTTGTCAAAACATATTGTCTAATTACCATCTCCTTTCTTGGCTGATTGATAAGCGAGGGCAGAGCAGTGCCTCTCTGAAGTCGATGCCAATTCCATGTCAGTAATTGGCTGGCGGGAGGTGCCAGAGTGTCTGAACTAAACTTTTATTCCCTGCAGAAAGACTAGAACTGACTTGACTTCTCAGTCCTCCGCTCCCATATAAATATGCACCAAGATGCTTTTTTCCCTGGGACTTAAAATTACAGCACAGAATCTAATGGGAACACCGAATGTTTCACAGAAAAATCCTTGTGAAGCGTATGTATGTACTTTAGAAGGAATATGTAATTCTAGAAGAGCGTGCAGATAAGTAGGATAATATATAAATTTATAAGCAGCAGGTGGCCAATTTAAACCTTGTTTTCCCCCTCCTCCCCTTTTAACTGGTTCCCAAAAAGGTCGATAAAATTTAATGCTAAGTAAAACTAATTAGCCTGCAAGGAACTGCTGCTGGAATGACACTTATTCATTTTAACAAAAGAAATGTTTGGCAGATGGAAGTTCATTAAAGCACAGCTCACTATACATATTTAATGCTCCATACTCCGAGCTTATAACCTGCAGTTCATTGAGGCACTGCCAGTGCACACATCAACAGAAAGCCACTATTATTTTTATCCAAAAGGTAAAGCTGCTGACAAGCTTTGAAGTCAGGGAATATTCACTCAGTAGTTCCCACTGTTCAGTAACAGCAACAACAACAACAACAAAAATAAAGGCCGAGCTTTCAAACTTCCACTCTAACAAAGCAATGCTTACAGTAAAAATGGCATCAAGTGAAAGAAAGAGGCACCCAGCCAGCCTTTTCAAGAGCAGCCACACTGCGAGAGCAGCTGAGTGAAAGGAGAGGTGGCTGAGCAAGGATGGCTGGTGAGCGCCCACAGCCAGGGCTCCTATTGTCAGCCCGCTGATCAAAGCACAGGAGACCCTCTTAAATATAAGGAAAATAATCTAATTTTAAAGAGAAAGAAAAAAACAACAAAGAGTGGTGTTTTCTTTTTCTTTTTTTCCCCCCTTTTTCTAATCAGATTAAAACAAGGGTGTCTTTCTGCTTGCGCGGGCTTTGAGCAAGCAGGATGAGAACAGCTGTGTTAAGTTTGAAGGCACTCAAGAAAAAAAGCAGATGGAGGGCTTTCTTTTTTTCCCCTCCAATTTGTTTTGTGCTGGAGTCCAGCTGTCCAAAGGGGAAAGAAGCACCTTTATTCCCTGCTAAATATTAAATGTCACCTGTAACTTCTCACAGAAAGAAAATAATAAGCAGAGCTGCAGATGGTGCTGCAGAGCCCTAACAGTTATTCTCATCTTCCTAAAGCTGTTGCTTACCTGAAATAACTGGGGATCTTATTTACAGCTGAACCTTCCTTGCTTCCCCACCTTGCACTGCCAGTCAGGCTTTGCAGAGACCTCGAGAACATATCAGGGCTCCTTTTTGCTGCCCATTGCAAAATTATTGCTTGGAATTCCTTCATTTTTCCCCAGCTGACCTTGGCTGAGAGCTGCATCAGCCTTCGTGCCCTGCAGCATCCTCTACCTCCCAGTCATTCCCTGCTCTCCCAGAGTCACGTCAACTCCCTGCAAGCAGCCACCCCAGCCTGCCTGTGCTTCCATTCTTCTCCTGGAGAAACAACTGACTGCAGACAGAGCCCTATGAAAAATTTTGTGTTTTGGGCACCCCTGGATGGCTGAGTTTGGCAGAAGGCTACCAAACCTTCCCTCCCCTCCCACACTCTTTTCATCACCACAATTTCCATTCCCAAATGAGTGCAGTGCGACAGAAGGTTAAACTGACACTTGAGCAAGCAGAGCAATGCAAGCTAGAGATCTCACATATTTTGCATATTTACCTCTGCGGAAGGAGACAGAGCTACTTACAGGAATGTGAGGTAGTGGCACGCGTCCATTTGCTTTGGCACTTTCCTGCATCTCTCTGCGATGCTGTTTCCGGAGTCTGTACGGTGGGATCCCATCTCTGCCAGAACAAAGCAACAACATGCCCTGCTTTAGTGCCTTTCATGAGCTGGTCTTCATCATGCAATATTGACTAAAGCCCTGCTGCCACAGAATGGCAGGTAGGAAACTTCTTATGCTTGAGGAAGGGCAGGTGAAGGAGGGCATGAGGGATAGTGCTGGGGACTCGGGTAGCACTTGCCAGGAGCAGAGCAAGGCAGGACTCCCGGATGAGTGCAGGGCTCCTGCAAGCACTGCCATGGGCAGCAGGCAGGAGGAGGACCTGGACTGCATCCTGGCACCTTTATAGTTGGCTCCTTTCTATGAGAGAGCTGGTGGCCTCCAGCTGTGCTGGTGAAGCTCAGGTTAGGTATTAGGAATCATTCCTTCTCAGAAAGAGAGGTGATGCAGTGGCACTGCTGCCCAGGGAGGTGGGGAAGTCACCGTGCATGGAGGTGTTCCAGAACTGTGGGGATGTGGCACTGAGCACGTGATCAATGGGCACGGTGGGGTTGGACCTGGGGACCTTTCACCTGGACCTTTCCACCTTAACGATTCTGTGTGTCATGGTCATAAAGGAGGTTGGAGGAAGGGAGGAGGGCCTTGGACAGCAGCACGCAGGCCCTGCTCAGCTCCATGCCCTTGCTGGAGGAGCGGCTGTGGGCTCCGTGGGGAAACTGACCTTTGTAGCAGCGAGCCCTGCTCCATGAAGGCCAGCAGCTGGGCTGGCTTCCAGCAGTGTGTGCTGAGAGGGCTCCCAGCTGCCAGTGTTGGGTGAAGCAGTACTGGTGGCAAAGCAGCACTGACCAAGCACGGCTTCAGGGAAAAAAAAAGAAGGGCATTTTTTGTTTTCACCATTGAAACCTTCATGGGATGAGAGGAATGCATCTGAAGTGGAGCTCAGTTATGAGATAAGGAAACGGCTCACAACCTAATGAAGCGGGGTTATGCTGGGAAAAATCAGCTAGTGCAAGACCAAATGCTACCCTAGAGCTTGGCAATTTGGAATGCTCCTCTTTTAATTTGCAGCTTTTGCTTATTCAACGACTGCAATGCCACAGAGCATTCAAAATTAAACACGTTAAAACAAAACAAAACCTATGATTAACGACAAGTGCTTTTGAGCAGGAAGACAAATGACCAAAGAGAAAATGAGCTGGGCTAATTGCAGCCCTGGCTGCTGGTCTCAGGTAATGCAGGAGGAGGAAGAGCACATCTCGGAGCATCACCTCCGCTGCGCCCCGTCAATGACACGGCACGGAGAAGAGCAATTTTCTGGAGCGTTGCTATAACAACGGGCGATGGTGATAGCTTTCATTAGAAAGCTTCATTTTCTTTAATGATGAACCTCCATTTGAGGAATAACTGAGAGTGGCGATGGTTAAGCAGCTCCACTGCACCGAGGCACAGTTTTTTCCAGAACGGATGGGAACAAAAGGAGTGTGGAGTTACACCAGCTGAGCCTTTGCTGTGCCATGACATGAGCCACTGCTGGTCAGAATCAATAAACAACATTTCAGCCACACAACCCAGGGCACGGACACCACTCGCCCAGTGCAGCCGCACGGACCCTCAGGGAAGGGCAGCATTGTAGCAGAAGGTGCAATTTTTCTTTCTTTCCCTTTTTTTTTTTTGCCTTTTTCTCTCTCTCTTTCTCTTTTTTAATTCTCCCCAGCAGCAGTCCCAGCGGAAAGAGCGACTTTTGTTCAGAGCACAGTAGCGAAAGGCTGATAATGGCCTCTAATCTATCCGGCTTCAAACACATGTTCAGCCCTGCTGTGCTGCCTTTGATGTCATTTTAACTAGATTCCCCAATGCCACCTCTGAACTTGGAACATTCCTTCGTTCAATGTACTGTGCCAACTCAACCAGAGGAAGCAAATTCAAAGATAAGCACTTTAATTTTATCCCAACAAAACCTTATTCAATAGATGGGGGGAAAGCAAGGAAAAGCAATACCGTACTTTTGTTTTCCTTTTGTCAGGTAGCTTACTTTGAGATATTTTCAATAGATAGAGAAATAATATATATATACTTATATATATAAAAATCACAACTTTTTTAGAGCACGTCTACTTTTAAAAGAAAACTTTCCCAAGCTGTTTTCACTTGTTTCATCATGTGATTTTTGGTAGCAGCAGAAAGCTCTGTGCTAAGATGCAGTGGGGGGAATAAGAGTGTTTCTATAACTCAAGTAGTGACCATCAATTTGTTTGCTATCCTGGAAATGCAGTGGCTGCCTCTCCTCTCTGAACCAACATGCAGGAGCAGGATGGACAGAGGACTTGCTGGTGCTGTGCAGCGGGACATCATTCACCAGCGCTTTCTTTACTGCTCTCCAAGTCCAACCACTGCCCTATCAAGTTGGAAATCCTCGTTTTGAATCTCTTACATTAAAAAGCTGTTAATACAGCAGAACTCAAGGTCATCCTGGATCACTGACTGCAGGAAAGACAGAATGCAAACCTGCAGAGAAGCTGATGTTTGCTACCAATTACTGTTATTAAAGCACCACTGTCACCGAGGGACCTTTCTCACATCAAAAAGCACAACGGGAAAACCACCAGGCACTGTAGCCAAAGAGCAGTCATTGAAGGAATAGCACTTCATCTGCAAGGTATTCTGAAGGAGTAACCGCCATCCCATAATGTTCCAGGACACTGCCATGCTTATCTGGGGCAGAGTGGGCAGAAGCCAGGAGCAAGGGCTGCTGCGGGGCCTGGCAGGTGAAGCCTGGATCCCAGCAAGGTGACACCCAAAGGAGGGCGTGCTGTTAGTTAGCTGGACTTCAACACTGGCCTGAAGTAAGAGACCTTACCTGTTACTTACTGCCCTAAGCTCTTGCAGAAATAAAGAGCCGCACTGACCTGAGGCTCTTCTGTGTCTGAACTGGAACACCATGTGGCAATTTAATGCACTTCAGCTTCTGCCAGTTGAGTTCACACCTGGAGGTGCCTTAATGTCCCTTGCATACCTGCTGTGACAGCCCCTCCCATCCAGAGGATGCATTCCCCCCTTTGGAAAGGGTCCTGTCCTTGCCTCTGCCCCAGCTCAGAAGTCCAGAGAGCAACACTCAGGTTTTTGCTAGCTGTTTTCCACAGCAGCCCATGCAGCCTATGGGGAACTCACACTTCTAAAACCCATTTTGCCATGATCAGTAGGCTATCAAAGCTTGGAAGGGAGCTGCTGGCAACCACAACACACCAAAGCAAAGGAACGCACAGTGCATGGCATGCATTAGCCTTCTCCTCTGCCCTGACCCGGCTAGCAGTGGAAGATCACACCCAGGCTGCAGGCCATGCTCTCTGTGCTGCCCCAATCTACTGTTAGCACACCAGGGTGCCCCTCAATGATCCCAGGTCTGCATCGTCATTGACCAGACATGTTCTCTTCTGATGTCGGGTCACAGAGGTTCCCACTTGGGATCACACACCATCCACACACCGCCTCTGAGCACAAGCTAGATTTCTTCATTATTGAGCTTGACTGCTATATGTAAACAGCATACATAGAGAAGAAGCTTGCTCATCATCAAATGAAGCTTTTATTGCCGTTTTCCTTAGAGGAGACCTAAATTCAAAGCACCACGACATGCAAGTCTTGTCAAGCAGCAGGAGTCCCCTCTCTAACTTGAATCTGGTTGTTCTTCATTTCTGCTGCCTTGAGCAATTCTGCAAAAATTCCTTTGAAACTCAGAAGGCAGACAGGTTCAGCAATATTATGTGAAACTGTTACAAAATTTGGTAATGAAGGGAAAGTATTCAATGCAGACAGTCTTTGTAAATCAAAAATCAAGGCCATATGTCCAGAACCCTAATTTGAGGATAAATCTGCATGCATTCAGTTTGAAATGCACAAAAGGATCATAGATACACCCTTATGATTTTTGAGACTTACTTAAAAGGAACCACTGTGTGATTGGGCTAGTTATTAGCAGAAGGCAGGATATGTATTTGTGATAATTAAAGCCCTAGAAGCAGCCTATGGTGGGCGCAGAAGGGATAAAATGCCTTAAGGAAGAAGGAACAAAGAATAAAGAGGCACGGGATGGTTAAGCAGAAATTATTCTGCCTGTGAGAGAAAGAAATTATGGCTACTGAAAGAAAAATTAGGAGGGTGAAAAGCTTGGGCATAAATGATCACAACCTATAGCAGGTATAACTATTAGTGCAACCCCATGATCCCAGTGGACCAGTGGAAAAGGAAGTGCTAAAAGCCAATTAGTTTTGAAGAGCTCTCACATCTGTCTCTTCTGATAACAAAGTTCCACGACCCCTGCTAGCTTCAGAGTAGTCCTCCAAATAAATTAATGACTAAGAAGAATCACAGAGGTATGTGACAAGACAGCTGCACTGACTCTTCAAATTAGTGGTCCTCTACAGTCTTCTGTCCCAGTGGCGCTCTTTGCCTCCTGTGCTACTTCAGCCAAGGTCTGCATCCTCCATTTTGCAACACGACATGGATAAGGTGTGAGGTGCTGGTGCCATTGAGGAGAAAATACCCCAAAATTGCTCCTAACAACTCCCTGTCTCCAGAGAGCTAGCAGCAAGCACACTTTTTGCTTGCTTAGAGCCACTGCAGCAGATAGAGAAGTCAGCTTATCCACCCGGTCTTTCAGGCTTTCAGAGAATAGGTTCTCTTGTTTGGCATGCTAGCACTGACACGTTGCAGCTGTGGAGCACTCAGGTTTGGTTAAGAGCTACAGGGGATGTAAGGAACCTCTGAGGCTGAGACACGGAACAGAGGATAGGAATGCCAGTCCAAACATCCCCACGATGGGAATCCCACCCATCCGAGGTGCTCCCTGCACCGTCTCTCCCTGGGGCTGGCTTCTCTGTATGCCACCATTGCCAACCTCACACCTGCTGGATCCTGCAGGCAGGTGTCTCAGGGCAGACCCACAGATCTCAGGTCTGCAACATGAGCACCGCGAGGAAGGAGGTCCCTGAGGGCCCCTGCCTGGAAGCACAGCTGGCAGCGCTGCCCAAAGCTGGGTGGGCAGCTCACTGTGCCAGCAATCCTAGAGTCAGCAGCCATGCTGCAGATTTACTGGCTCACTGCATTAACCGAGGGCAGCTGGGAGTTGCTGCATCTTGATGGGTAGCACCCATTAAATGGCACTCATGACACAGGCTGGAAAGCTTCTTGAACGAGGTCTGACAGCTCCTGACATTCAGAGACACTAAACTTGCCTCTTGGAGGACTTTGTGTTTACAGCACTGCCATTAATGAAAGTCTCCTAATTCTGTAAACCTGTCATCTTTAGCTATAAGAATCAAAGTGTTTCTGCTCTACAGAAAGACACACCACATTTGAACTATTAAAAAACAGACCAAACATTGACTGCTTTCCCAAAAATCCTTTTTTTTCCATCACAGAGATGCAGCAAGAGCAAGCTCATTACATTTTTCCTTCCTTTGCAGAACATCTTTAAGGAAGATATCTCAAAGGTGAGATGCACTGCTCTGTCACAAGGGTAGTAACCTGTAAAAGCAAAAAAGATTTGGAGGGAGCTCTCCAATATGAGTTGTGTAAAAGCAGAATGGTCACCAGATCTAGTTTAGGACTGAAGGAAAAAATCAAGAGCAAAAGTAGAAAGCTCTGAATGGCAGTTCAGAGGACCCTGGCCAAGTCAGAAGACAATAAATCTCAGATCACTTACTACAAAAGCCATCCAACAACTCCTGTTCTCCAGGTCTGTCAACATGTTCCCCAGTGCAGCTGAGTTTGGGTACAGGACCACAGAGCTCTGTTTGGCTTGGCTGCACAAGGTGCAGGAGAGTATTTCTACCCCTGGTCTCTGGCCTGGCACGCTATGGTTCATATATCATGGTCAGATTAGTGAGAATTCCCATTCAGCATAAGAATATCCTGAATTTACAGAAACAATTATTTCATTGACAACCATCAAGTCAAGAGCCAGGCTAACACCCAGTCCACGTTCTGTACTGTTGTTAGAAGTAATCTACTGAATGGACAGAATAGCAAACCGGCATCTATAGAAAGGTCATCAGCCAAAACCTCCACATCACCCAGAGGACCGGCAGAACGGCACAGTGAGTCCTGCAAAGCTGATGCCCTTTGGGGCCTCAGAAGTCTGTTGCTGGCTGGGCAGAGATGAATGCCTTCATTCTCAAAACTCCAGTTTTGTGGTGAGTCTCTCAGGCTAACCTACAGCTGTTGGCTCCCCGGAGAGAGACTATCAGGATTTTCAGGTATTTGTGACACAGATGTGAAAATTTTGGCAATTTTGTAAAAAAGGAACGGCAGATGCTGCTTTATTCACACAGCATATGGCACACGCACTGTCCTCAGTCTCTGCATCACCAGACTTTTGCAGGTGGATAATGTCATACACATGGCCTGGATTCCTACGTACTTTTATGAAGTTTTGTGCTGTATGTCTGGCAGTTAGATGACAACACCTTGTAGCTCCCCAGATGGTTTAGTTTTAAATCTGAGGCAGAGCAAGCAGGCTCCTACAGGCATGTAAGGCCTAACCATGATGTGGAGATTCGTCAGTTTCAGTTTTTAAACACTCCTGAACCATCAAAGCCACACAGTGATCGTTTCAATTGCGAAGGACCCAACTGAGGATGAGCTGCTGGTGCACCAGCCTTTACCATCTTGCCATGTTATGCACAGGTGGACAGCCTCCAAATCTGTGATAACAAACCAACAGGTAACAAAGCACATCCTGGATTGGAATTATAATGTCTAAGATCCTACCTGACCTCCAAGACCCATTTTGTCACCTCAACACATGCAGCAAATCCAGCATGTCCAGCACAATCCTGCTGGCACATGCTTGCAGAGAGGACAGAAAGTCAGCAGGATCCTCTGCCAGCTCTGGATGAACAGCTTCCCAGATGCCAGAGTTCTCTTCTTTTAGAGTACACTTTTACTGACATCCTATAGCCCAGTACAGAGCCTTAGTCAACGTCTCCTGTCTTCAAAAGCTCTTCAATCTACTTAATCTTTCTATTACATAGACTTAAAGAAATAATTTGATACTTCCTTGCTTAACTTTTACAATGTGCTTTGGAGAAAAAGCTGCTTCTAGGCATGAGCAAGGCACACAACAGTGAAGGCAGCACTGCAATTTTGCAGTGAGGAACCTGGATGTGAGCCCAAAGTCCCTTCAGATACCGTCCTAAACCCAGGTTTGCCCTGTGATTCATTATACAAAATGAGGGTGACTGGACACAGAAGTACAACTGAAATGAAATTCTGCCTTAGCTTTGATAAGAAGGATGAGGAGTTTCCCGAGCTGCATTCCAGCAAAACACACTGGAGTTCTTAATGCATCCCTTTTTTTTTTTTTACCCCTCAGTAATCAGCCACCCAAATGCTGTGGTTTTCAGGAGCAAGTGGGAACTTTGAAAAGATAAAAGACATGAAAAGGAGCAGTCTTGATGGGGTTGCCATCTGATTCATCCTAACAAGGAGGAACCTGAAGGGAACTCAAAGAGAGCTCACATCTATTTGCACTTGGCAAGAAACACTGTCAGAACTTCTACCTCATTTGTTTTAGCTCACTTAATTCATTTGATGTTGAAGATGTTCCCAGGAACAGCAAGGCTGCGTAGCCAGCATGGTGACAAAACTACTCCACTTGAAAGAAAGCTGGAATGATCGTGACCTTGGTCTAGTCAGATACTCTGCCCAACACCACCTGTTGCAATGTCAGACTAACACAAAAACAGCACCAGCACTAAAAACCCCACTGTTCTCCCATTTACTGTCACATCGGATCAAAGCTACTTACATGCTGCTGTCCGTCAGCGACATCGTGTCTGCATCACTGGACATGCTCTGCTGCTCGCTGTCGTTGGCGCTGGTGGCTGGTGCCATGGCATATCCCGTGTTGACATAGTAAGGGTTAACAGGTTCTCTCCATGACCCATGCCTGGAAGAAAAATGCAAGTGTCAAATTAAAAGGACAGAACCTTGACCCTGCTCTGCTGGGTTCTGTGCACCGCAGCGCGGAAGGGCTCTGTCCTACAGCCCCAGCGTTGGTGACACACTACAGAATAAGCTGTGTTGTCATATTAAGTTGCATTGATAAAACCATGAACAATATGACTCATAGCTGGAAGCCAAAGGGAATTCATGAACTAAGGAAGATGATACTTTTAGAGCTGAAGAGAGAGACGGAACAAGACTACATGGCAGAAGTCCAATTCACATCAGGATTTATTGCATCCATTGGAAAACTGCTTAGCATTGACATTTTATGAGCATGGCAGGACATCTAAAAGCAATATCTAGATTATGAGACATTATCTTTCTTAGTAAAAGTAGGATTCTTTCTACTCTTCCAAGGTAAGCATGACTCACTGATTTAATGTTTGCTCTCAGGTCCTTCCTTACCTCACTCTAACATGTTTGCCAAGGCAGGGAATTAAAGTCAGGAATGGCAGTTGCTTGCGAAGTGGAACCTGCAGCCAACCTCAAATGTCACACCAGGGTACATCAAACACTTGCAAATTCCACTAGCAAGGACCATCTAATAGCACTGGCTTTTCCAATGGACAATCTAGGCATGAATCTACAGAGGCTACTTTGTACACAGCACCAGGCCTTGTCCTGCAGGCAGGTTATTCAAGTACATCTGCAAACAAGCCAACTTCCTTAAACAAAATGGCTGGGTGAGAGAGCATCTGCATGAGCTACCTTGAGGAGCCAGTTCCTTCCTTGGAAGGAGATCTGCACTCCTGGTGAAGAAACCTGTGAAACAAAGCAAACAGATCCCTTGCACTGACTGCCACTGGCAAAGGAAAGCTACAGCTACCAACATGCCTCCAGCTCCAGCACACATCACACCAGCCATGTCACACAGGCATCATATTGTCACTGCAAGTCATTTTGCAATTTGCCAGAAAGAGGAACAAGCTGAAACATTCCTACAGGCACAGCAGCAGCATTTAATTCCCCACTCGCCCTGCCTGCACCGCTGCATGAAGAACAGACATCCTGAAGTCTATGAATGCTGCAGCTTTCCAAGCTGTTACCAGCACTGAAAATCAGAGTAACATTTCATTCCAGATCACCACATTCAGCATGATCTGTCATTTAGAAACTCAGCAACATGCTCCCAGTTGATGCAGCTCATTATGGACCTTGAGCAAAGGCTTCCAGGGAGGACACACCACGCAGCTTGTGCTTCCCAATTCTGCTGTGAAAAGCTTTTCCAGCTGTACTGCAGGGGTCAAAGTCCTACAGACAAAAGCAAAGTCACTGCCCTGATGAATTTACCTTTAGATAAGACCAAAAAAAGCCCCAGACCAAACCATGAGAAACGCACAGATGGAAGCACTGCAGGCGAGGAAGACAAAGGCAAAGAGACAAGGTGGCAGTTTTGGCATATCTTTATGAGTATGAACATATGATAACCATCACCTGGATATTGATCATCACCTGATCTCACTACACTGGCCAATAAATGAGCAGAGACTTGCATACAGCTCATTTGAGGTAGAGGTTTTCAGAATGATTTATGAGTACTATGGGATTTGGAGTACGTGGATGGAAGCACTATCAAAGCAATTTAGAACTGAGTCAGACAGGGCTATAGCTTTCACACTGCTAGGGTGAATAGTTTCTATTCATATGCACCCTGCCCCTTTGCCCCCAGAATCAGAACCAAACAATTTTCCTTGCAATATAAGGGGTCAGGACACCAGCATGTTCATAGGTCACAAACATTTTTTTACTGTTTTAGGCCCATCATCATGTCTGATAGAAGCTATTTCACCCCTGTTCTCACAAAGAGAAAACCAGTATTTTGCTTACCACAAAACAACAAAAACTCCAAGCTACTTCTCCTTAGATGATGGAGCTCAGCATAGAAGCAGAGTAAAGAGCATCCAAAACTGAGTCAATTGAGGGTTATCACTACTGTTTGAGGCAAAGGGATTTTTGTGAGCTTCTGTCACACAGAGTTGGCAGTGTTGCAATGCTTACCTGTGCCCAGGGATGGTGAGTCACCACAGACTTTTTCAAGCACACAAACTTTCTGACTGTCACTTCAAATGTGCACCGATGCAAACTTATTTCTATATCCATCAGATTTCCAAGCAGATTTCTAGGGCAAATATTTAAGGCTGGAATTAATTTGATCAAGTTTGCCCTAAAAAGCAAAATATAATAAGTGAAAACCTTCCAGCACCCATTCACCAGCTCTCCCCTTGCATAATGGTCAGTTCTGAATATTAAAGGAATGCTGTGCCGTGTAACCTTCCTGTCAAATCTGATACGACAGTTGCATGATGGAGGCAGATAAAACCTCTTAAATTGAGGTGAGGATGATGGATAGGTGAGGCCTTCCCTGCGGGCAAAGAGAAGGATGCTTTTTGGATAACCCAATTAAAATAGAACACCAACTTCTAGTGGACCTTTTGTCAGGCATCTCTGGAAGCAGCACGGATTATTCTAGCAGTATATTAAGAAAGCACTGTGATACGCAGAATAAAATGCACAGATCAATCAATTTCTCCTTTGTATTCGTTGATCACTTACAAGGGAAGGAACACACCTCCTAACACCCCAGAGCAGCCCCGCTGATAAGGCAATGCTTCTACACACTGGGATGTACAAGGCAAACAAAACCCTGTGGGGTTTTTCATCACCTTAACCTATCCCTCCACTTTTGGGAAACGGCAGAATTTGAATCTGTAGCTTTTAGTGCACTTTGCATGGGAAAAAAGTTTAGCTCCTCGTTTCTGGAGCTCTTCTGGTGTGTATGCTGGGTGGAAGTTGCAGGTCATGATCACAGCCCTGCCATGGCTGCTAAGCTCTGTGCCCGTGCCATCTGTCCTGGCCAGCTGCACCAGCAAGGTGCTGGGGCTGCACAATCCATCTAGGAGCTCGGCTCTGCTGCTGCAGGCAGCTCAGAGCTCCCATCTTCTGCCCGGGAAGGGCAGCTCAAGTCTGTATGTGGCTCTTGAGCACCCTCCCCAAGGGCAGCCGAAGGCATGGGGATGCTGCCACCTCTCCTTTTGGAGGGGGCACCCCAAGAGCCACGTCCCCATCACAAACCTGTCCCAGGCATTCAGGGGACAAACATTCAACTCCTATTGCTAATAACACACATTGAGGGAAGTGAGTAGTGTAGCCTGGAAAAGAAGGTGCAGGGGAGGCCTCATTTCTCCCTACAACTACCTCTACTGAGCTCTACTGAGGTGGACGTCGGTCTCTCACACAATAAGCAATGGGACAAAAGGAAACGACCTCAAGTTGCTTCACGGGATGGTTAAGAAGGATATTAGGAAAAAATTATTCACTGAGAGGGTTGTGAAGCCTTGGAACTGGCTGCCCAGGGAAGCAGTTGAGTCACCATTCCCGGAGGTGTTTAAAAGACACATAGATGTGCTGCTCAGGGACACGGTTTAGTGGTAGACTTGGCAGTGCTAGGCTAACAGTTGGACGCGATGATCCTGGTGGACCTCAGTTCAACCTGATTCTGTGATCCTATCGATACACAGCTCCTTTCTCGCAGCCTCACAGCTTCCTGCAGGCCAGAGCCGCGGGGTGCAGCAGAGCAGACAGGCACATGCACAGCAGCAGGCCCAGGGCTCTGAGCCTCCTCCCTCCTCTTCTCGCCAGGAAGCAACCAGTGGCGCAGATGAGAGCCTGGTTCTGTCGCGGGGCTGAAGGAAGGCTGCCTTCCCTCCCCTCCAGCAGCACAAAGCGTTTTAAGAGTTATTGGGTATGAGTCTGAGAGGGCTGGAGGAATTCAGGAGGTAACAGCGAGCAGATGGGCGCCTCATGGCACTCTGCTGTTCGGCAGCCGGGACACAGAGGCTCTCCTGGAGCACTGCACAGGGCTGTGGTTCTTCCACCAAGAATGCAGGGAAGAGTTTGGTCACGACTGTTGTATTTAGCTAAAATTACACACTTAAGCATGTATACAACAGGGATTACTTCCATTTTAGCTCTGCCTCTAATACATCAATGCAAATGTAAACTTTCAGTAAGCGTAAGTACATGGAAAGGGTATAAGATTTCAAAGCAATCATAACAGGTTACATTACTTTTAAGGAATCCATCTGTATTCAATCCTTCTCTTAATGTTCCCTCTCCCTGACAACTCTCTTCAGCTGGCTCATATCACTATTTGAATGTTTTGTGCTGTGCCTCTGAAGAACGCTTTCAACATCTATTAGCAGGAAAACATTAAAGGAACATGGAGTCTAACAAAAAACTGGTCACTTCTGATCTGGGAGGGGAGGCTGCTTTAAAAGGGATTCAGACACACTTGGAGCGTTTTGAAATGTCAGCTAAAAACTTCACATACCAAGCTCTATGTGCTGATAAGGGCAATAAAAGGAAAGGTGAGCATTTAAAGTTAGACTTCACAAAAATTCCTGCAGACTTCTGCATTCATTTTAGACCAGAAGTGCAATGAACTTTTTTGAAATTAACATGTAACATTTCACACGTTGCAGAAATAAAGCCTTTCTCCTCTGCAGCTCTCAGTTGTTCAGCCTTCAAAGCAATCGCACAAGGAACAGTTCTAACAAAGATCAGAGTGACCCAGGCAAGTCAGCCCGACCGCTGCCTTTTCTTTTCATACGGCTCTCCACTGATCACTGTCAATTCCACTGCTACTGACAGGGGCCAAAACTTTCAGAAAACGAGTAAGCATTTCCCTAAGGTTTCCTCATGTCTGTTCAGAGTTGATTTTGCATAGCCCTTTATTTTGCAGAATCACAGAATGGTTTGGGTTGGAAGAGACCTTTCAAGACCATCTAATCCACACCTCTGCCATGGGCAGGGACACCTCTTGCGAGATCAGGCTGCCCAAAGCCTTGACTCTGAACACTTCCAATCCTGCTCCTCAAGCCAAGACCAGCACACAGCATGAACGTGAGCACCACCACGTTTCAGAGCTTCCACTGAAGTGAG